GACAGCCTGTGACAATTTAGTGTTTTTAAATGTTTTTATATTGCTACTTCCCAACAAAGTAAGCAAAAGAAGAACAAAACAAAACAAAATTCTTTTGCATTCAGACTGATTTTGATTTCTCTTTCCTGCATTCCCTATGTCCCTCCATCCCTCCATCCCTCCTTCCTTCCCTCCCTCCCTCCCTCCCTCCCTCCCTCTTACAGCCATCATTTTTGGAGTTACAGAGAAACAAGAAGTCAACCCCCAGATCTACTGGACTGCACAGACTAACCCCGACAGGCAGCCTCTGTCCTGACTACTGTTTCTCAGGGAAGAAGCTCAGTTCAGAGAGACTGTGCCACTGGCCCACGTTACCCAGCCCAGGCTGACATTGGCCAGGCTGACACTTTGGCTGGCTCTCTCCTGCAGGCCGATGAGGGCTTACCCGGAGGCCCCCGGCAGCCCCGTGCAGACCACTGCCCACCACCCCCTCGGACGCTGCCCCCCGGTGCCTGCCAGGCCACACGCTGCCAGGCCGACTCTGAGTGCCCGAGGCACCGGCGCTGCTGCTACAACGGCTGTGCCTACGCCTGCCTGGAGGCTGTGCCCCCACCGCCAGGTAGGCAGGGCTGGGGTCGGGGAGTCGGGGGTTGGGGTGAACCTGAAGGTCAGGGCTGGGGGACAAAAGGAGCTGAGCTGTGTTTGTACTGAGCCACCCACAGCTGCACCTGGGTGCTCATCCAGCGTACCTGTGTAGCACCTGTATCCATGTAGCCCACAGCGTGGAAGACACCCATCCCATGGACAATGTCACCTCCGTGAAGAGAGGATGGGTGAGAGTCCACCTTAAAATTTGGATAGGTAGGTAGGTAGGTAGATAGATGATGGATAATCTCCGGGGCTGGGGCTGTAGCTCAGTGCTTGTCTTGCATGCATAAAGTCCCAGGTTTGATTCCCAGCACTACATTAACCAGGCATGGTGGCACATACCTATAATCCCCAACACTCAGGAGATGGAGGCAGGAGGATCAGAAGTTCAAGGTCATCCTCAAGAGTTAGAGGTCAGCCTGAGCCACATGAGACCCTGCCTCAAAAACAAAATAGTAATAAAATCCAGACTTGAAGCTTTTCTTTTAAAGAAAGCTTAGCCAGAGCCCTTGGGCCCCAGATGGAAAGTTCTGCAGCCCCTAGGCCCCTCCCTCCTGACACCAGGCAGAAGTGCTTGGGATGAAGGTGGAAGCCCAGAGACGCAGCTGGGATGTGCCGGAGAGCCAATGGTGTACCCCTCTGTAGCCTTCTCTACAGAGCAGGGCTGAATGGAGCTCACAGCTTAGGCAGGTCAAGGCTGTAAGTGCTGGCTTGCAGGGGCTGGGGCAGAGGGCCGATGTTTGTGATTGAGTCATCTCTGGGGACAGGTGGTCCTGAGGGGAATACTTGACATTAAGGACTCCTTGGGTGGGAAGGACAGAAAGTAGGTAGGGTGGGGTGGACTGGTTGCTATTTCCTGAGAAGGAAAGGGGGCCTGGGTGGACAAGGGGGACATAGCAACTTTCCTGTTCCCTGGGTCCTGCTCTAGGCTGAACTTTTGACAGTGCCCTCCCCGCCACAGCTCACAGATTCCCCTGGGATCTGATTGCTTACTGAATCATTCAGAGGAGATGGCCCTGGCCTCCTCCCTCCTCCCAGATCCTCCTGCCTCTGCCTCCCAAGTCCTGGGGTTACAGGTGTGCACCACAACACCAGGCTCATCAAGTGCTTTTGAGCAATGCATAGACTATACAGCTGTGCATCCAACCTGTGGTCTTCACACATCACCTCACTTCAAGCTCCACAACATGAAGTGGAAACAGCCATTAAGCTTCAAGACCAGCCTGGGTTACATAATGTGACTCTATCACAAAAACTTATAAATATGGGGCTGGAGAAATGGCTCAGCAGTTAAGAGCAGGTTCAAATTCCAGCACCCACATGGCGGCTAATGACCGCCGGTAACTCCAGTTCCAAGGGATCCTCTTCACTCCTCCACAGGCACTGCAGGACATGGGTGCATTTACACACATGCAGGCATAACACTCTCTCTCTCACACACACACACACAAATATATATAAATAAATAGCTGGGCGTGGTGGTACACACCTTTAGTCCCAGCACTTGGGAGGCAGAGGCAGGTGGATTTCTGTGAGTTTGAGGCCAGCCTGATCTACATAGAGAGTTCCAGGCCAGCTGGAGCTACAGGAATACCCTGTCTCAAAAAGGCTATATATAAAGAGCCCTCGGTCTAGGGAGGAGTAAAACTAGACTCCCCATGGGTGATGCATCCCAGGAAGGGCACCTATTCAGTGCTCATCCCCACACTCACCAGGGGGTGTCTTTATACACTCTCCCACAAGGAGGGCTCAAACTCAGAGAGGCTGAGTCAATTGTCTTAGGGTCACACAGCAGGCAGAGTGGTAGACGGAGTGCAGTCACCTGACTGTAGAGACATGTCCGTTGGCTGAGGTCCTGCTCCAACACTTGGGCTAATGTAAGGCTCTCTGAACCGAGCATTCTCCCTGGACACCCCCAAGCTCACTTCCTTACCTCCCTCAGACCCTTCTCCAAGCAGTCCTTCCTCCGTGAGTCCTCCCCTCCTTCTCCAGGCTGTCCTTCCTCCGTGAGTCCTCCCCTCCTTCTCCAGGCTGTCCTTCCTCCATGAGTCCTCCCCTCCTTCCCTCTCAGTGTCTCTCCTCTCATTGACCGATCCAGAGAACTGTTTGCTGTGCCACGTACCCAGTGTCCCTGACTTGGAGGTCAGCCCTGCCTGGCAAAAGGTGGGGCTGTTCCACTCGGGCTGTGTCCCAGGACTGCAGTCTCTGAGCAAGGTGCTTAGTGGACTCTGGATGTATGTGTTCATTCATTCATTCTTTGCTCATTATTCATTCATTCACTTACTGACAGCAGGCGTGTCAGTAATAACAGCAATTATATAGGACCAGGTTTCTCAGCCGTGGTACTTGTTGTATGAGATTTGAGCTAGGGGTGGGTCCTGTTGGTGTGTACAGTGCAAGGCATGTAGCTATGCCCCCCAGGGCAGTACAGAGCCATGGGACCCTCTGCCTGGTCTTGACACACCCCTCCGCCAAGGTTGGGTACCTCCCACTGCCCCTCTCCATCTGACTCTACCCTCTGTCAGTTCTAGACTGGCTGGTGCAGCCTAAACCCCGATGGCTTGGTGGCAACGGCTGGCTGCTGGACGGTCCCGAGGAGATGTTGCAAGGTACCTTCAGTGAGCACCAGACCCCCAAGTTCAAGCTAGGGCCTCTTTCTCAGGGGTGGCCTTGAACTGGCCAGCCCTTTGGCTGTGTCCCCACCCTCCTGAATCCTTCCCTGGCTCACAAGGCTGCTGGCTGGGGACCCAGCCTGGGACCCAGCCCCCTTCCCACAAACCATGCAAGACCCTCTCTGAGGGCCAGGAAGCAGAAAATGGGAAGGGAAGGGGCCTGGGGCCAGGTTCCAGTCCCTTAGATTCTCCTTAAGGATAACATTGCTTCCCAATGATTATACCTTCTTGAGGGATGGCGGGTGGGGAGTGGTCTCTGAGAGAATCCACACACAGTCCTGAGCCCCAGAGGCTTATGGTATGGGGGTGCACATTGTGTGCCTACATCTGTGCTTGTGACTCCTTGCACCCCCATGTATGGCCATGTCCGTCAGGGTGTGTACACATGTGGCTGTCACTCAGGTAGGAGACACAGTGCTGCCAGTGCCTGTTTCAGTGTGTGCCAGCAAGCATGTGTTCACGTGTAGTTCTGTATGTGAGGGTGTGTTTAGGATCCCATCACTGCCAACCATCTCTGTATACATGTACACTGGGAATGGATGGATGTAGCCTCACTGGGTGCCCGTCTGCCCATGCTGTGTGAGACGTGCGGGCAGGGCCTGGAGTCTGGGAGCAGGAGGAGGGAGGTGGCTTCTCTGGATACAAATGTATGTACTATGAGGTACAAGCATGCCTGATGTCTGAGTGCACATGTAGTATCTGGACGGGGGTGGAAATTGCCCTTTCTGGGCAGAGGGCATAGTCTGTATACCAGGTCAGCCTTCTGAGACCTGGCCTGTGCCCCCCCCTCCAGCAGAGGCCTGCAGCACCACTGAGGACGGGGCAGAGCCACTGCTCTGTCCCTCGGGCTACGAGTGCCACATCCTCAGCCCTGGGGATGCTGCCCAGGGCATCCCCAACCGTGGGCAGTGCGTCAAGCAGCACCGGCAAGCAGGTGAGTATCACCAACCCAAGCCCTGCCCTGGCCCTGCCCCAACTCTGCTGTCCTGGGGAACACCCTGTCACCCAAAACCTGGCTCAGAGCTTTCCCCATCCCCACGGCCTGGCTCCCTTCTTGTGTCCTGCATCCACGTATGATGCAGGCTCTGGACTGTGAACACCAGCAGCACCGTGTTGCCTGCCTGGGTGACCTTGGGGGCAATCTCTTTTTCTTTCTGAGCCTTGGTTTTTCCCCTGTATGATGGGGCCACTCACATCATTGGATCAGGTGAAAATCTGTACATGTGGAGCTCTGGGAATGGAGCTAGGAATGTACAGGTGACAGGAAAACACTGGATCTTGTATGTCCATCTCTAAATCTGTCTTAAACCCCATAGACTTTGAATTCTTATTTTATTATTATTGTATGTGTATGTATGATGTATGGAGAGGGCTTGCACATGCCATGGTGCACATGTGGAGGTCAGAGGACAACTTTGTGGTGCCCATTCTTTCCCGCCACCTTTAGGTGGGTTCCAGCGATCAAACTCAGGTTGTCAAGCTTGGGCATATTACCATCTCGCTGGACCAAACCTGATAGAATTGGAATTGTCCAAGAAGCCTTGCAGCTCAGAACATCCAGATGTCAGCTGGCCATCGTCGGTGTCTATCAAGGGGCGCAGACGGTGGGGTGGTGAGGCAGACAGTGGGCTGCCCGTCCAGGCTCAGTAAGGAATAACCAGGCGACCCCACGCACATCATGGCAGTCACTTTTATGCACAGAGCAGGGTTGTCCTATTTCATTGCTGGTCCCTAGATACCAGGTCACAGTGGGGTGGGGGGTCATATAAACCCCCTGGGTTGGCAGCCTGTGGGGAGGTGCAGGACAAAGGGTCGGCCTTCCATAAGAGAACCCTGGGTTAGGAATGCTTCATATTTCGGCAGGGTCTCTCTCTGTCTCTCTCTGTCTCTCTCTGTCTCTCTCTCTGTCTGTCTCTCTGTCTCTCTCTGTCTCTGTCTCTCTCTCTCTCTCTCTC